AAGAAAATGTCACTATCAATCTTCTGAACTTTAAATTCTAAAATATATTTTAGAGAATATAAAAAAATGCTTTTCACTTTAGTAAATGAAAATAAGCATCTTGATCAATCCAAAATTTTTGACACCTACATTGAGTTTTGTGCTTTTCATGTAATACATATTAATCAAATTTAGACATCCTTCCCCCTGTATCCCCCCACACACACACCAGATTTCAGGTATTCTGTCTCAATCCAAATTTTGTTATTATTAACCTGTGCATAGGTCCTTAAAGCAGTTGTAGGCTTAAACCTCAATTTGACTTCATATCATGTTCCTTTTTTAACTGGCTATGGGATTCTTGTCATCTATTCAGCTCAGTAGTTTTAGAGAGCAATGTAAGTAAGCCATTTGTCTGTGAGGCATGTGCTTCTTTGCTGTCTCTTTGTTCTCTTCCAGTATGTTGGAAAACTCTAAAGTACAACTGGTTTTTCACCAGTCAGAATTCAACTACAGAAACAGAATAAGTAGAAGATACATATTTTAAAGTTTTGCATAGATTAGCTCATGTAATTATGGGTGCTGGCTAGGCAAGTCCATGATTTTAAAGCTCTGCCACTCCCGCAGGAACTAAAGGTTCTGTCTCAGGGAGAAAATTCTCTTCCTTAAGGAAGCCTGATTCTCCTTTTAAGTGATTTAACTGATTGAGCCAGCCCATTCAGATTATAGAGGATAAGCTTCACTTCCAGGCTATGATTCTGTACTTGCACTTTAACATACCATCACAGTAATGCTCTGTTTAACTGAGTATAAGACTATACCCTAGCTGCATTGACCTGCTGAACACAAGCTAAACACAAGCTAAAATGGTCTCCATAGGATAAATATAAAGCATAAATAGAAAAAAGTTAGCTTTATAGATTAAAATAATTCTCGTATATTTATTCCCTATCAAGTTTATCTCATTTATATGTAGTTATATATGAAGGCGCCACTAGGCAGCAATTCAAAAGGGCTAGAATTATGATTAGTGATTTTTCAGTCCTAACAATACTTTTATTTAGCATTTTCATTTTTCCTTTGTTTGATCGTGGACAACAAATGTGGGCAAATCAATAATCATTTTTCTTAGGGATTTCAAACTTAAAATTGACTAACACAGAAGTTACTAAAATAATCAGCTGTACCTACCATGAGTATTTTTAGTTCTTTGACCATCCTAAAGCAGAACTTTGTATGATGGTGTCCCTTTTTTTCTGTGGAAGCCAGTCCTTGTCATCATAGGAAAACTGACTGACCCTGAGCATGCAGACTTTCCTTGACATACTAGGATGTGACCTCTTTGTAAGCAAAAACTGTGTGTGTGTGAAGGGGTTGTTAGGGTCCGTGACTTGGTAGGTCTCTTCAGGAGAACAAATGCACGAGTATGGAGATGCAAAAATCAAGCAGAGTTTTATTAAACCAGCTAGCTGGGGCCGACCATCCTTCCAAGACACGCAGGTCTGGTTAGAGCGATCGACCCCGAGGCAATTTCAGGTAAAGATTATATAGGCTCCCACAACCGTTACACAAAAGCCGCGTTTATACAACCAATAGTTTCAAAGCAAGCATTTCACAAACCAATAACTTCAAAACAAGAAAAATGTTACAACTCCCTTCAGGTG